ACTGCGAGCGACCAGGGCGCCCCTGCCCCTTCCGGGAGCCGTGGTGGCACCAGTTGGCGGCGTACGGAGCGGTTCACCTGGTGACGGGAAGCGCTCACCTGCAGGTCCGGCATGTTGCCTCCAGGCGCCCGGATGTGGGGTAGGGGGATGCGGTTCGCTCCTGAAATAGTTTTACTCGCCACGACGGTGGCAGTGGTGTTGTAGGGCCGCGTGACGGGTTTGGTTAGGGCGCACCTTTCAGTCTGCCTGCGGCGACTTTTGCAAGAACACCGGGCACCTTTCTTCCCGCGGAGGGTGCCCTTTCCCTCTCTGTCTTCATCTCTGCTCCCTAGCGCCCAAGTCACACCCCTTGGAAAACAGCAGGCCCTTGCTTTCTGCCCCTAGTCAGAGGCCTCTGCCCACCCCTCACCTCCTGGCCCGCCCCCTTGTTCTGCCTTTTCCGCGGTTAATGAGTCATCCAGTGCCTTAGTTCTTGGGGCGAACCGGGGCTCCGTCCAGATGGCAGCAGTGTGACCCGCCCAGGAGGTGTGGGAGCCCTGTCTGTCCAGGAAAACGTGGGCTTGGCGGGAGGGGACACTGCCACCATTATAGGAGAGGCAGTGTGACTTCACGTCCAGGTTCCTCCATGACACAGCCCTTCTCTCATTGACCGTCAGGGAGTGAGTGTCCCTGGGACACAGCCATCGGCTGGGCTGCTCACCCAGGTCAGCGGCAGAGGAGGCAGGCTGCACCCACAAATATATCTGGCTTCAGGCCCCTGGGTCAGCAGCCCCACTCTGCCATGTAGGGTGACTGGGAACGGGGCAGACTCCTTTGTGTGTTTTTAATGTGGCCATGGGTTTGCACTGCCCCTTCCTCCTGCCCACTCCCCACAGTTCCAGTGCATCTCTGTGGATGACCCCTTCTTCTCCGACCCTCAGCCACCTCCCGGCCTCCTCACTAAACCAGGGCGTCCCGGAACAGGAAAAGGCCTGGTTTCAGTTTCTGGCCTTTTAGGGCGATTACAACATGTGGGTTCGTCACCTCTGTCTGAGGCATCTTTGAAGAGAGGATAGACCAACGGAAACCTTAGCCCGTTTCTTGGTTCCACAAGATGGGCCGGGCCTTCCCACAGCTCAGGGGAGCGTGGAGCCAGCTAGCTCAACCGAGTTCTCCCTTTAGCCTCCTGATTCTCCATGCGGGCAGGAAAGGGCTTGGCATGGGGGTAGCAAGATTAACCCCACAGGATTTTATTTAGCGAGCTGTATTTTTTTTTCATAACAGCCTAAATGAATTCCCAAGGCGTTGAAAAGAATTTTATTATATGAGAACAAACGCCCTCCAAACCCTATCCTTTTGTGGTTCAGGCACTGGTGATGTATGGAATGAAAAGTAGCCACCTGACAGTTCGGATGGCAGAGGGCCACTGTGAGTTGAAATCGGCTCCTTGGCTGAGATTTGAGTTTAGGGCCCTAAGCCCAAACAAAACTTTCTGGTTTATTTCTTAGATAAGATGGAGCTTATTTTTGTTGACAAAGTTCTTTAATCCCACAATCTACTCTGTTATGAATAGAAACGTGTCCCCCACCCCCGGAAAAAAAAAAGGGTATGAGGGGGCTTCAGAAAGTTCTTGGAAAAGTGAATTAAAAGTAAATGGCTTGAACACTCCTGGGCAGTCACTCTCCCCAGCTCTGTCCAGCTGACGTGAGGGAGCACAGGGCTCTACCCATGATAAACAGTCCTTGTCCACAGCATCGGAGATTACAGGCGCCTTAGGCCTGGACCTGCACATTCCAGCAGCTCCTCAGAGTCCCGTGGATGGGGCCTGAGAGGCTAACCAAACAGGAAACACCCTCGAATACACCCCACGAGAATCGCAGTTTGACTTAGACTTGTTTTCTACCTCTCCTGTGCAGAATTCCAGACATCTCCGTTTAGAGGTGATCTCAGATTTGCATCTATATTCCAAGGATTGAGGAGGGAGCTCACTTCCTCTCTGGCAGGTGTAGACATTTTTAATAGCGTGAGTTGAGACTGCATGAAGAACAGGAACATTTTAATCCCCAGGCTCCATGCCATCACTTAGAGCTGTGTTGAACTTGTGGAGTTTTTTAAGAGCTAGATTAGTGTTTTTTCAATTTTATCTTTTAAACTCCATTTCCCCCTGACCTTGTTGAAGTCCCTTCCTATTTAAAAATAAAGATTCCGTTTGAAATTTTTTAAAAAAGAAGAAAAGTAATGGAATTTTTTTACCTACTTTTTTGAGGTCTCCTGGTGTTTACTTGTCCCTTGTCAGGCATGGCTTTGAACTGTGCAGGTTCCCCCCCCAATAAATACAGACTATGTTAAATTTACGGTATTGATAAATCTAGTGCAGTCCTATAAATGTATTTTCTCTTCTTAATGATTTTCCCAATCAGATCTTCTTGCCTCTTGCTTTATTGGACAAGTACTGTGTGTAGTACAGATAACATGGAAACCATGTGTTAATCAGTTGCTATGTGATTCGCAAGGCTTTCTGGTCAACAGAAGACTATTAGTGACGTGTTTGGGGAGAGGAGATTTACCTGGGAATTTTTACCCCTAACCCCTACGTTGTTCAGTGGTGTGGTCGCCCTAGCCCTGGTGCCGGGGAATATGACCCTGGGTGGAAACAGGGCCTGTGACTGTGTGGTCAGTGGAAGTTCTGGAGCAGAGCGGGTCCCCATCTGCCCAGTGGTGCCCTTGTGACACAGGGGAGGAGACACAGACGGGAAGATGGCCTTGGGAAGGGGTAGCTGCAAGCCTGGGAATGCTGGGGACCACTGGAACCTGGGAAAAGTGCAGGGCAGACTTGTCCACAAGTGCCCCCTAAGACTCCCTTCTGAAAGGTCACAGCTGTTGAGACTCCCATGAGACAGCTGTGTTTTGCACACTCATCTCCCTCAGCCGCACCCCCTCCCACCCCTGGAAGAAGATTATTTTCTAAATGTGTTGTGGTGGTTTGGTTGAAGGCGTTGGCTTGGTTCCAGTAGGCCAGCGGGCTGTTGGGAGCCTTGTTGGTTGAGGTTTGGGGTAGGCTGTGGCATGACGCAGGGAGCATACTGGAGGCCAGGTGGGGACGCACTGGGCTGCCATCCTCCAAGCCAGCAGTTGGGAGCCACCAGCCGTTCCATGGGAGAAAGATGAGCAGAGTCAGGGCCTCGGCCTCCACGGGGCCATTCTACCTTGTCCTGGAGGTCGCTGCACGCCCAACTCAATGGCAGCAAGGGAGGGAGTGACAGCATGCACGTCCCTAGAGGGTGATGCAGGGGTGCTGGGGGGCGGGTGGGTGGTTTGGAAAACAAAGGTTCTGTGTCTCCATTATTCCCGGCACCCGCCATCTGGAGGGACCCTGAGAGGGATGAGGTGCACTCCCTCCTCTCATACTGCCCCCACCGGAACAAATGGTTGTCCGCGCCCGGGCGGAGAGGTGGGGTTGAGAGCTCAGGTGACTCCCCGGACTTGGGGCTAACAGCCGGCTGGGGTCTAGGACTGCGGGAACAAGCCCCTCGAGTGGGGTCCTCAGGACGGCACCACTGTCTGTCTCGGTTATGGAGGCTGCCAGCCGGAGGGGAGACCAGGGTGTCTGCCAGGTTGGGGGCGCTGAGGGAGAGTCTCTCGGAGGGAGTGGGTTTCTCTTAGGGGAGGCCATCTCTGAGGGTCTGCTTTCTCCGGGAGTGTGCCTGACTCTGGCATCTCCCGGCATTCCTTGGCATGGGCAGGGCTGGAGGACCCAGGAAGCCAGGCACCCAGGGGCCCGGCCGTGCCCCCCCACCCCCACGGGGACGCTGTGGTGGACCCAGGCGAAACTGCTCACACAACCTCGCAAGGACACGGCGGCCGGTGCCCACTGAGCTAACTGGTCCCCCGCCCCTGTGTGCAGTATCACACGGCCTCCTGACCCTGGGACCCAGCCCACCCCAGGCGACTGCAGGGCAGGACTCCTCACCCCACTCCCCCACCCCCGCCTCGGTGGTCCCTGTGGGCAGCCGAGCCCGCCACACTGACCCCAGTGTCTGCCTTGTCCAGGTGGTCCAGAAGAAAGGCGGGGACACGCTGGGCCTTGACCCTGAGGTCCTGTCGGTGTTCGTGCCTCCCTTTGTCAGCCACGAGGAGGGCCCGGTGCCCAGTGCCAACAGCGGGGCCCTGGGGAAAAATCGAAGGCGCTCCTTCAGGAAGAAGAGGGACCTGCCCAAGCCCGAGCCCTGGCGGGCCCTCCCGGGGTCCCCCAAGGTTCCCGAGCCCGAGGAGGTCAGCATCCCCAACGACGTGGACCTGCTGGCCCTGCGGCAGCTCTGCTTCCCAGGTAGGTGGCCCCCTGGTGGCCCACTGCGGGACTTGTTCCTTCCTGACGTGGAGCCCCGCGTGGGCCGTGGCTGTGCCGTGGCCTACCACCTGCAGGGTCGGCGGTTTGAAACCACCAGCAGCTCCGAGGTAGAAGGACCGTCTCAGGAGCCCACGGGGTGGCTGTGGGTCCCTCTACGGGTGCTGTGGGTGCTGTGGGTCGTGGCGACTCCCTGGCAGCGAGGCTGGTTTTGGTGGCTGTGTCTGAAATCGTCCTTGGGGCGCGAGGGCCCAGACGGCACTTGTTTCTTTTGAATGACTTCTGGGCAGTGTTGCTGGTACATCACTCTCAGAGGACACCGGCTCTCCCTTCATCAGTTCAGACTTGCGGGCCCCGTGCACATCCGTTGGTCTGTCTGGCCTTCTCTCAGGCCATTTGGGTCCAGCTAGCCTTCTGAGCTTGGGTTTGGGGAAAATGCTGTCCTTGGGCTTGTGTGTGTGTGTGTGTGTGTGTGTGTGTGTGTGTTTGCCCCTCAGTGGTGTTTTGTTGGTGGTGTAGGCCAAACTCCTGTTTGGCAGCAGGGTGGACCCTGGGGTTGGGTTGAGGGGTCTGAGGGCCACAGGCTGGGGGCTCCACCAGTCGGGTTGTGGGAGGCAGCCCCCGGCCACACCAAGGGAACCAGCATGTCTCAGCCATGGCCATCCTGAGAGGGAGGGGGGCAGCTGCGCTTCGTGCCCCGAGGACAGTTGACTGTGGATAGCCTGGGCCTGAGGGGGGTGGGGGGGGCCTGCTGATGGCCGTGACCAGATGCCCTCTGTCTGTCCCCAGGAGGCATGTGTGTGGCCCCTGAGCCAAAGGAGGACTGTATCCACTTCCTAGTCCTGACGGACGTCTGCGGGAACAGGACGTACGGTGTGGTTGCCCAGTACTATCGGCCCCTGCACGTAAGTGCCTCCCCCCACTCCCTTTGAGATCTTGGCTGAGCGCTTACCGTGCAGAGAGACATGGAAGATGAGCTCTGTCCTGCCCATAATGTCCAGATGTGCGGTTGAATGTCGTTTGTGGTGTTCACAGCTGTCAGCCCAGCTTGTCTGAGATGTTTTCATGAGCACCTGGTGGTGGGGGTGGTGTCTGTCAGCAGTGACTCCCCTCCTGGCCCTGCTGTCCCCGGCACCCAGGAGCCCGCCTTCTGTCTGGCTTGCTCCTTCTGAGTGGAATCTCGCGGGGTGCGGTCCTCTGTGCCTGGCACCCATCTCTCCGCATGTGCCATCTCCAGGCCCTCCCTTGCCCCGTGTGTCAGCAGGTCATTCCCGACCGCACAGTGTCCCAGGGTGTGGGTTGGTCACCTGTTGATGGCGGTCACATGGGTTGCTTTGGAGGAGAGCGCTGGGGCTGAGCTCAGTCTTTGCTTCAGCTTGTCGGACTGCAGTTTGGGTGGGAGCTGGCCGGCCACGCTGGTCAGCCGTCTGTGCACATTCTTTGTTTCCTGACGTGGGCAGCAATCCCGCCGTGTTGCAGCACGTGCTCCCGCTTCCTCTGGCCTCTGGCCTTCTGAGCAGACGCCGCCCTTTCTGGTCCCGCGGGCTGGCTTGTTCGGAGGCCGTGCTGACTGTGGTTTGGATGAAAGATGACCTCCAGGCGTGGATCAAGGGCCACGTTTGAAGGGTGTCTGAGGGGCATGGTCTTGGGGCTTCTGCCAGCCTCTCAGCAGAACAGTAAATCTGGTTGGCTTTACGGCTTGAAGTTTCGTTTTCTTTTTCCTCCCATTTCGACCCCCATGAGAGCTGTTGGTGGTGGTGGGTGCGCACCATCTAGTTCTGGGCTCAGACAGGTGCAGGCGGTGGTTCGGGTGCTCAGTGTGGTCACTCATCCTGGGGTCTCTAATTTTCCCGACTCATTTAATTTCCCTTGCTCTGGACGGGATGAGACCATACGCGGTGCCGTAGCCGGCACTGAGCAGCTTGAAGACCCAGTTTTCAGACTCACCGAAGTAGGAGGTAGGACGAGGTGGTCTCGGTGGGCTATGTGATGCCAGCTGGCCTTGGTTTCCCCGAGTTTCCAGAGCTCGGCCCTCGTGTGCTGTGCTGTGTGTCTGGGCACACTGCCCGCCGTGGTCTCTGCCGGGGCCTCCACGTGCCTGCCAGGTGTGTCTCCTGCACCCCCTGCCCCTGTTGGCTCACCCACCTCTCTGTGCATGCACTTGTAAGCTATTGCAGGATCGCGTGGGTGAGGATGCTCCACGCTGCTGCCCTTTGCTCACCTTCCAGAGTCTTCCTTTGTGGGGGTTGTGGGGTTAGGTTGTGAGTGGTGACTCTCTGCTCACACGCTGGCCGGGCAGGAATGTTTTCGGGCAGGGCCTCGGTGTGTGTCGCCTGGCCTTTGAGGAGTGTGTCAGGGCAACAAGGACAGCTCACCATCGGTGACACGGAAGCCCAGAGGGGTCACATCTGTGATTCTCTGGGTTTCTAGAGGGTTCCAGCAGACCAAATGCCTGCAGGGCCGCCTGGAGGGAAGGCAGGCTGGTCCCCGCTGTGGGGTCCCTGCCTTAGCTGAGAAGGAGCCGCCTGGCAGGGTGTCCTGCCCTGTCTCCAGGGAAAGGTGCCTCGGTGACACAGTGGATTGAGCACCGGCCTGCTATCCGGAAGGTTGGTGGTTCCAACCCACCAGCCGCTCTGCAGGAGAAAGACGAGGCCATCTGCTTCTGCAGAGAGGACAGCTTGGCAAACCATGTGGGGAAGCTGTGCCCATCCTACAGGGTCGGCGTGAGTCAGGATCAGCTCGAGGGCAGTGGGTTTGGTCTTGGGCTTAGGGAACCTTAGGGAATGGAAGGGTTTTTTTGCTTTGGTAGAATTCTGCCTGCACAGAATACTTTTATCTCAGCGTCGGGAGGTGTCACGGATTGAATTTTGACTCCCAACAAAGTCTGTGTTATAAACCCCACCTCTTTTATGGGGAGATAAGGGGCCCTGGGGCGCAGTGATGATGCACTGGGCTGCTAACTTCAAGGTTGGCGGTTTGAAACCATCAGCTACTCCGAGGGAGAAAGACGGGCTTTCCACTCCCGTAAAGAGTGACTGTCTCAGAAACCCACAGGGGCAGCTCCACCCTGTCCCACAGGATACTGGGAAGTGGCATCCACTCGATGGCAGGGGCTTTGGCTGGGGAGGCTCAGCAGCTTGCAAACTGACAGCAGTCTGGGAAGCCCCACGGGCC